AAAATCTTAATGATATAGTACTTTCAGAAGGTATGCTTTGAAATGTTTTAAGATTTTTTTGTTTCCTGAACTACCTTTGTTCCTCATGTTTTTGTTTTTATTTTGTTTTTGGCCTTGACCAGGGATTTAACCCGGGCCACAGCAGTGAAAGCCCAGAATCCTAACCACTAGACCACTAGGGAGCTCCCTGTTCTGCATGTTTTATCTTGCTCCTTCTCTCTCTCACACTTTTTTTCTTCAAATAGCTGGTAATCCTTAATTGCCTGTTGATATTTATAAATGAAGGTCTTGGTTTATCAGTGTAGATAACTTGCATGAATATCCTACACTGTTTTGAAAGTCTATTTTGACATCTCTTTAGTGTACAATTGGAAGAAGCTTATTGGCAGGCTTTTAGATGTAAATTAGGTGAGCTGGGGAATGCTGTTGAAATCCATGATTGCCAAAATAAGGAAGGTTTCATTCTGGGACAGAATGTGAGATCCTTTATAGTATTTCATTTTTATGAGGAACTGCCTTTTTTGTTTGTTTGCTTCTTCTTTCTGTGTTGTGGAGGGTCAAAGTCCCCTTGAACATCGCTTGATTCCCAAGAGCTTTACGTCTTTATGTGTTACTTTGTATACATAGGCCCAACTGTTCTGCAGTAGTTCTAGTTATTCTGATAATCACCCTGTGGCCTGCTGTTCCTTACTGTACTTTTCGTCCTGTCCTGGGAATATCTTTGGGAAGAAGAGCGATCCCTGCTATAGGAGATATCTCTTATTTTTATTTTGAATTTTAGTGTTTTCTATTCTGGTTACTTAGAATCTGTTAGCTTGCCAGTTTGCTGAAATTCTGTAATTTTAGATCGTTAATAGCATCCTTTCCTGTTTCAAGCACTGCAGGTTTATTTTCCTTTTTCCCTTTACCTTTTTACCCATGTTTGTGCTCATTTCAATAGGATTTTTGAGAAGATAGTGAAATAAATCATGTGTTCAGTCTGATTTTATTTATTCAGCACCACTTAACATGTGTAGGTAACGTTCTAGGTTCTGTGAATGAGACAGACAAAAGCACCCCAGCTTTCATAGAGCTTATATTTTGATGGGGGAGACATATTGAGCATATAAATAAATGTAGTAGTAGTAGTAGAAGTAGTAGTAGAAGAAAATTATAGAAAGACTATAGTAGTAGTAGTAGTAGAAGATTATAGAAAGTAACTTGGGCTGGGAGACTCAGAGGGGTGACCTATAAGTTGACATCTGAAGGAAATAAAGCCTGTCTCATGAAGAGCCTTGGGAAGAAAGCTCTAGGCAGAAGGATTAGCAAATGCAGAGACTCAAGGGAGGAAGGAACTTGTTTTATTAAAAGGAAGGCATATCTGCAGAGTACTGAACAAACTGGCTACTGGTATGAGATTAGATGGGTGAGAGGCAAATGTCAGGTCTTATGGGGGACTTATAGTCTTTGGTCAGGAAATTTGACTTTCTTTTAAATAAAGTGAAAAGCTAATGAAAGGTTTTAGAAAGGAAGCTTATTTATACAGTTTTTTTTTAAGATAATTTTGGCAGCTATTTAGGGAATGTGTTCGGTTGCCCATAGAAGTGGGAGAAATGAAGAAATTGTGGATGTATTTTGCACAGAGTACCTATGGACTTCTATGATGATAGAAGAAACAAGCTGAGTCACAAATGACTACAAGTTATTTGGCTTTTGCAACTGGTTGGTGCTATTTACTAGTATAATGAAGGTTGGAGGAGGGAAAATCAAGAGTTATTTTTTGGCACATCTGAAATGCTTGTGAGTCATACAAGTGAAGCTGTCAGGTAGGCAGTCTAGAGCTTTGGGAAGAAGTCAGAGCTGAAAGTAGAAATTTTGGAACGATTATAACAATAGTTTTTAATGTTTTGGGTCCATGGTTTATCTGGGCTCAGGACAGAGTCCTAAGACTTTAATATTAGAGATGGAAAAGAACCTGCAGGAAGGAGAAGACAGCAGAGGTGATAAAGAGGAATGGCTGGTGAGATGGGAGATTTGCAGAACCTGAAAATCAAGTAAAAAATTAATTTCAAGGAAAAGAGGGGGCTTCCCTGGTGGGCGTAGGGGCTTCCCTGGTGGCGCAGTGGTTGAGCGTCTGCCTGCTGATGCAGGTTCGTGCCCCGGTCCGTGAAGATCCCACATGCCGTGGAGCCTGCGCCTCCAGAGCCTGTGCTCCGCAACGGGAGAGGCCACAAGAGTGAGAGGCCCGCGTACCACAAAAAAAAAAAAAAAAAAATTAATTTCAAGGAAAAGAGTAGTCCTGTGTTGAAGTTTTGAGAGATGGTATTAAGATGATTAAAGAGAGGTGTCTATTAGATTTGCTGACAGGGGTTTTTGTCCTTCTTGATGATCATTTTCATTGAGTTGGGAGCTATACTGGAATGAATTGATGGGTGAATGGGAGGTGAGAAACTGAAGGCAGAAAGTACAGATACTTCGTTTTTGAGAAGTTGGCTATGAAGAAGTTTGCAGAGATGGGTGGGTAGCTGAAGGAACAAACTTATATTCAGTGTTAAACTCTAAAAGGCATACTATAAAAAGCTTTACCTGTTACTATTTCTTTCAACTTTTTTTTTTGAGAAATTCTAAGCATACTCTGTCCCATCCACATCCACTCCTTCTCTTGTATATTATTTTAAAGCAAATTTCATATAATTTCAATTATAAATATTTCATTACATGTTTCTAAAAGACAGACCTTGGGACTTCCCTGGCGGTCCAGTGGTTAAGACTCCATGCCTCCAATGCAGGGGGCATGAGTTTGATTCCTGGTCAGGGAACTAGGATCCCATATGCCATGCGGCACAACCAAAAAGAAATAAAATTAAAAATAAAAAAAAATAATAAAAGATAGACCTTTAAAAACTTAAGCACAATAAAAAATTAACAATAATTCCATAATATCAAATATCCAACTGGTGTTGAAATTTTCAGGTTTCTCATAAATGGTTTTTAAAAACAGATTTCAAATAAGGTCCACACGTTGCATATGACTGATATCTTTTTTGGCTCTCTCTTTATCCATTATTTTCTCTTTTATTCCTTGCAGATTATATGTTAAACTATCACTTGTCCATTTGGATTTACTGTTTGTGTCTCCATGGTGTATGTTAACACATTCTTTGAATGATTTCTCTTTTTCTTATAAATTGTAATTTGGATCTAAGGGCTTGATGAGATTTGATTTTTTTTTTTTTTTTTTTTTGGCAAGACTACTTAGGTAGGTATTCTATAAGGAGGCACAAAGTCTGCTTATCTCTGTTTTTGTGATGTTAGCTGCTGTTGATGTTTACATTTAGTTCATTTCAAGTTGAAAATGGTAATACTCTTATTCCTTCTTCAGTTTTTTAGCCACAGTGATTCTAAAATAAGAAATTGCTCTTCATCTACCCTTTTGTTACCCAGTGAGTGGTACAGTTTGAATAGAAAAGGCAGGGTAAATGCTTTATTCTTCTCCTTTATTTCACTTTTCAAAATAGTGAGTTGGTTCTTTAGGTGTTTCAGTCTATTATAGTTATTATTTTTATTGATGCTCAAATTATAATAGTCAACAGGAGCCTCTTCAAGTTAGCCCTTGAGTCCTTTAACAAGATGCTGGTGATCTTAGATAACTTTCTTACAGTTTGGAATAACTAGGTATTCTTGCATTATCTGGCATATGTTAATCTGAGACCTGGAATTAACTAATTCTCCAAGGATATGGTATTTGGAAATAACTATTAATATTTTACTTAAATTTATTTTATTTTATAGTAGCCTATTAAGCGTACTTAATTTATATAGCCTTTTATTTCATTTTATTTTTAATTTATTTACTTTATTTATTTATTTTTTGCTGCATTGGGTCTTTGCTGCTGCGCGCGGTCTTTCTCTAGTTGCAACCAGTGGGGGCTACTCTTAGTTGCAGTGTGCAGGCTTCTCATTGCAGTGGCGTCTCTTGTGGAGCACGGGCTCTAGGCACGTGGGCTTCAACAGTTGTGGTAGGTGGGCTCAGTAGTTGTGGCTTGTGGGCTCTAGAGCGCAGGCTTAGTAGTTGTGGTGCACAGGCTTAGTTGCTCTACGGCATGTGGGATCTTCCCAGACCAGGGCTCAAACCCATGTCCCCTGCATTGGCAGGCGGCTTCTCAACCACTGTACCACCAGGGAAGCCCTATATAGCCTTTTAAATTGTTCTCTTTAGTTCTTGGGATATGAATTTTCTTATATGTTTTGCCCCTTTACCACCATGGTTTTAGGCATTTGGTGAATTTTCTTTCTTTCTTTTGAATTCAGGTACGTATTAAAGCAATTTAAAAAAATTGTTGTTTGTCTTATCCAACCTTTTGATCTGTTTGGAGTGAGAGGGGTGGCTCCTTGCATTAATTAAATCACCATGTTGAGTAAGGTTCCCCTATTGCTATTTATTTGGGATAAACATGCTCTTAGAATGTCAGAAATGACCTCTTCTGTGGATAAAGTGAAAACTGCTTACTTCCCTAGTATTTTTATATTTTTCCTAGATACTTTCTGTTTGGTTTTTATTGGGAACTTTAATATAAATATTATGGCTAAGGTCAGTTTTGCTTCTGTGTATTTGACATATTTCAATCTGTAATTTGGGTAGGGGGAAAAAAGGAATGGAATATTTATTTTCCTTTTGTAATACTTCACCATTTTTAACTTGGATACAGAGAGAAGGAAAAAGGTTGCTGTGGAATTGTGTGAACTTGTAGAGGCTGAAATTAAAAGTATCAAATAAAGAAACTTGTCTTCTGTTATAAGATTCCTACTACCTCATGTGTTAATGTGGATCTGAATTCTTTTGAATTTCTTTCTTTCCTGCATGGGTGAGGGACATATAGATGTTATGGTTGTAGTTTTATAAAATATGCCAGGCAGCAAACTCTAGTGCTATTTAGAAAAAAAAAGAAGAAAGCAATGAGAACATGGGCAAACAGTTCTTGCTAAGCCCTAAAATATATCACTTTTATTCATCCATACAGAAAACAAGCATGAGGCCAAGAGGAGGCGAACAGAGAGAGTTAGGCGAGAGAAGATAAATTCTACAGTAAATAAGGATTTAGAAAACAGAAAGAGGTCTCGAAGTAACAGCCATTCAGATCATATCAGACGAGGAAGAGGAAGACCTAAAAGTGCATCTGCCAAAAAACATGAGGAAGAAAGAGGTATGAGTAAATCCAAGCAGTTGTTTTTTTTTTTTTCAGGTATTAAAGTTTTCTAACATCTGAATTAGATAGTAGTGAAGAAAGTGTTTGGTAGGCATTGAACTCCTGGACTTAAAATTCCAACTCATATTTTAGTTTGTAAAAGCATTTCCTCTCAGGTAGATGTTTGTTTTAAAAAAGTCACATAAATTTAATTCTTATTGGAAAATTAAAGGCTTAAATTAGGTAAAATTCACCTTGCTGTAAACTGATGATAGTAAAGTTCAGAGATAATATGTGTATGACATCCTGGATAAGTCTGTTAAAATAGTTATACTTTTTTAAAGATAAATCTGAATTCTGTTAAGACTTATTTCAAACTATTATACTGTGAGTTTTAAAAATTTACTCTCAAGTGTTCTTCAGTATGAATTTTTAAATTACTCCTATTCTGTTTCCTATTTTGAGGCAGCTTTTGGATAGTAAGGTGAATTCTTCTTGGTCTAAAACATATTCATATTCTCCTTATAGATTTTCTCTTTTCTTCTGATAAGTAGTGTGTCTACCAATAACTTGTTTGTAACCATCAACTAAAACTTCTTGTTTTCTTTGATTTATACATCTTTTAAAAAACCTTTTATTGTGGAAAATTTAAAAGATTACACAAAAGTAAAAAGAATGGTATAATGCACCCCATATGCCCATGAATATCTTTTTAAAAGTGGGACTTTCAAGCCAGTAATTAAATGAAAAAACAAGAGAGTTGCTTTTTATAATTCTTTAAAAATCTCTCTCAAGTAAATCAACTATATTTCAATTAAAAATAAATAACAATGTTGTTAGACACCACAAAAGCCTCTATTAAAATAATTTCTTCAGTGAAATGTGTTTATAACTTCTTATGTTATTTGTGAGTTATGCTTTGCTTTTTCAGGTATTCAGTCTTAGGTATTCAAATATAAATGTATTTTAGACATTGAGAATTTTTTACCTGTTCACCGTTTCTCTCTGCTTTGTGTGCTTCTATTTGAATAAAAGTGCTACTGTTAGGGAAAATAACTTCACTGGTATAGGTTTTATCAAAGTTAAAGATTTTTTAATATTGTATGGTTAAAGGACTAAGGTTTATAATGTCTTTGACTGTATTCTGTGAAGACTGTGCTTCTATACTCCTTAATTTCCTTGGGTAATTTTACTGCTTTTTCTCTTTCCTTCTATTATGCTGATCTTCCAGAGAGTTTGAGTTGTTTTCTCAACTTGAGGGTGCTTCTTTAACAATGGGATGATCAGAAAATATATGCTAAAGACTGTTTCAGAATGAAAACTAGGTAAAGAAAAGTCAACAGAGGGGCTTCCCTGGTGGCACAGTGGTTAAGAATCTGCCTGCCGGTGCAGGGGACACGGGTTCAAGCCCTGGTCCGGGAAGATCCCACATGCCACGGAACAACAAAGCCCGTGCACCACAACTACTGAGCCTGCGCTCTAGAGCCCGTGAGCCACATCTACTGAGCCCCACGTGCCACAACTACTGAAGCCTGTGCACCTAGAGCCCGTGCTCTACAAGAGAAGCCACCGCAATGAGAAGCCTGCGCACCGCAACGAAGAGTAGCACCCACTCGCCACAATTAAAGAAAGCACAAGCACAGCAACGAAGACCCAATGCAGCCAAAAAATAAAATAAATACATTTAAAAAAAAGTCAATGGAGAAAAAAGAAAAGAGGGAAATACTGCTTGGCCCAGAAAACAGAACATTCTTTACAGTTGAAGTAAAGGGAATATAACCCAAAGAATTGAAAAGGAATGCTTCTAGTCAGAGGAGATGAGAGAATAGATAATGACAGTCTTTTATTTGGGGAAACGAAGGCTCTGTAGTTGTGGTAGGACTATATATGCAGGTTTGGATCTTTTATTTCATGTTAACTTGAAAAAAGTGTTTATTTGGTATAAGTTGGTTTCAGGTATTTTTAGTTTATTATAGAAAAGTTTTAAGAAAGCTATTTCTAGAGTAAGATATGCTTTTAATACAAACAGGGAGGACCTCAAGGAATTTTTGTATAATAAAATAGAATCTTTTAATGTAGGCCAGGGGCAAGGGCATTCAGCAAACTTTTTCTGTAAAGAGCCAGATAATAAATATTTTAGGCTTCGTGGGCTATAGGGTCTCTGTCATAGCTAGTCTGCTCTGTCATTGTATCTGGAAAGCTGCCATAGAGAATACGTAAATGAATGGGCATGGCTGTGTTCCAGTAAGACTTTGTAAAAACAGGTGGGAGGCCAGATTTTGCCAATTGCATTTTACCAATTTTGCAGGCTGTATTTTACAAACCCTTAAGGCAGACCATGTTTTCTAAATATAATACTGATAGAAAATATGAACTTTTGAAATGTCTATATATTTTAGAATAGACTTCTTTGATATGCTTCTTAGTGTTAAGTAGCTACTTAAATTCAGTATTTATTGATTCCCAGCTCATAGGGCACTTGAAGAATTTGAAGCAAGCTTTATCTTTATTCTAATAAGGAAAACCTGACAGTGTGTCTAAAAGCACATTTTTAATTGGCTTTACTGTTTCCTATGTTTTGAAAAAAATAGGAAGAATAAGGAATGAAAAGGAAATCTTTTTAGACATCTAGATAACAACATTATGATAAAAGCCAACCATTAAACTTAACAGTTTTGGATGGTTTAAAATAAGTCTTCATTTTATATGTAGGGGGTATGATTATTCTGGATATTAGTAAGTAGGAGTGACTTTTTTTTTTTTTTTTTTTTTTTTTTTTGTGGTAGGCGGGCCTCTCACTGTTGTGACTTCTCCCGTTGCGGAGCACAGGCTCCAGATGCGCAGGCTCAGCGGCCATGGCTCACGGGCCTAGCCGCTCCGCGGCATGTGGGATCTTCCCGGACCGGGGCACGAACCCGTGTCCCCTGCAGCGGCAGGCAGACTCTCAACCACTGCGCCACCAGGGAAGCCCCAGGAGTGACATTTTGACTGATTGAAATATATTGGGCAATTCTGAATACCTTATTAATGAACATAGAGAGTTAATGTAGACTTCACGTTAAAGATGGTGGATTGAATAAACACATCTAGCTCTGCACCCTCCCCAAATCCTAGTAAAATGACAAGGATGAAAGGGATTTTTTTTTTAAAGGGCCAAGTCCCACAAGGACAAGGAGTGGGAGAAGCAGCAAAATTCTGCAAAGTGCTAACTTCTTTAGCAGACCCAAGAAACCCAAATTGTAAACTCCTTTGAGGAAAGCTGAGAAAGAAACTGATTTTTGTTTCATATCTGCCTAAGGTCAGGAATTTTTACCTCAGTTATTGTCTGAAAGTGTAGAGGTGAAGGTGAGGCTAAAAACAAGACTATTTGAAGTCTGTGTTTTAATAGCCTGCTAGGGCTCTTTACCCTGACCTCCCCTCCCTGCAAGTTTATCCTTTGAAAGGGAAAACACAGTCTCTGGTCTAGGAAACACCAGGCATCATTGAGGGCAGGAGTACCAAATTAAGATGAGGAAGATTAGGTGAAAATTGGAGATGGTAAATACTGAGTTCTCCAGTCAGGCTTTCACAGAGGAATAAAAAAATAACTTGGATAAGTTTTTGCAGGGAGAAGAAAAAAATTAAAACTACCATTAATATTCTTTGTAAGAGAAGGTATGGTAGTCATGAAAGAAAAACAAGATGATGTTTAAAAGGAATTGCAGATGTCAAAAAAGTACCTGGAAAATGAACTTTAAAATGAGAATCTCAAAATATATATATATGTATGTATATGTCTATACGATTTGCAGAAATGTAAAACTTTAACAGAAGCCTTATAGACAAAATTGAAGAAATGTACCGGAATGTATAGCAATAGGAAAAGAGATGAAAAAATGAATAAGAAACGTAAGAAATTTAGAGGACCAGTTCGAGGTCCACATCTGTAAATAATTGATGTTGCAGAAGAAGAACATAGAAGATGAAGTAGATGGGAAGTCATCAGTGAAATAATTCAAGTAGTTTTCCCAAACGGGAAGGACATTGAGTTTCCATATTGAAATGCCTCACCAAATTCCCAGACCAATGGATGGTTAAAACTAGATATTATGCCAAAGCATATCATCATAAGTCATATCTCTCTGGTTAAAGGGAAGGTCCTTCAAGTGTTCAGAGAAAATAATCAAAGTGGTACAGTGGAATACTACCCAGCAAGGAACAAACTACTCATGTATGAACAACATCAGTGAATTTCAAAAACATGTTGAATGAAAGAAGCTAGACACAAAACAGTACGTACTATACCATGGCACTTATATGAAGTTCAAAAACAGGCAAAATAAATCTATGGTGGTAGAACAATGGTTGCTGGTGGGGTGGGAAAGGATTGACTGGAGAGGAGCATGAGGAATTTTCTGTATCTTGATTGTGGTATGGGTCATCCAGTTGTACACTTATGATCTGTATATTTAACTGTAGTAAATTTAGCAATAACTTAAAAAATAACTGTAAAAAGTGGTATACGGTTTTCTTAACAGTGACACCAGTAGTTGGAAGACAGTATTTTGCCTTTAAAATACTAAGAGGAGGGCTTCCCTGGTGGTGCAGTGGTTGAGAATCCGCCTGCCGATGCAGGGGACACAGGTTCGTGCCCCGGTCGGGGAAGATCCCACATGCCGCGGAGCGGCTGGGCCCGTGAGCCATGGCCGCTGAGCCTGCGTGTCCGGAGCCTGTGCTCTGCAACGGGAGAGGCCACAGCAGTGAGAGGCCCAAGTATCGCAAAAAAAAAAAAAATACTAAGAGGAAATATTCAAGTCTTTACTCAATCACACTATTAACTAGTGTGAAGAAAGACTAAAGACACTTTCTAATATTCAGGGTCTCAAAAAATTTGCTACCCATACTCCCTTTCCCAGGAGGCTACTGCAAGATATATGACATCAGTGAAGAAGTAAACCAAGAAAGTATCCTGGACCTACGGCACGGGGTCCAACTCAAGAGAGAGATGAGGAGAATCTCCAGCATGATGTTGACGAGAGATCTCCAGATGATAATTGTGCAATAGGCCTAGAAAGCAACCATTCCACATTGGAGCATAGAATTTCTTCAAGAAGATAAGATTGATATGTGTAAACATTCTGAAAGATTTATCCAACTAGGAGAGAGTTTGGGTTCAATTAGTAATGAAAACTAAGCAAGTGAAAAAAAAGAATCTCTTCAGTGAAAACAGTGTACAGGAAAAGTGAAATCATTTACACAGTGAATAATGTAAACACAATATTGATCTCATCAAAATGGTAATATAACTATAATGGGAAGATGTGATAAGAGTATGGTGGGGGCAAGAGACAGAAAACAATAAATCCTAATATTTCATGGTGGAAAGTCAATTAATAATGCCTATAACCAAAAATCCAAGATGTTGCATCAGATAAATATGTTACTTAGGTAAAAACCAAAAGGAATACCTGGAAAAGTAGTTTTATTTGAAGAGTAGGAAATGTGCGTGAGGGAAAGAGGACTTCTGTTTTTTTTGTAACACGTTTTGTAAAAATAATTTGACTCTAAACTATATTCATGTTTAACTTTGATTAAAAAGTCAATACAAAACAAAAAACGAGACAAATGTGGAATCATAGTAGAGCCTGAAAAAAATCATTTGGGAGAATATACACAAAAGATGTTAATCGTGATTTTAGCTGGCTCATAAGATAATAGGTGATTTTTCTTTTTTATTTTTCTGTATTTTTCAAAGTTTCTACCATGGACTTGGATTACATTTGTAATCAGGTGGGGAAAAGTAGAAATAAATGTTGGTTATTCATGTTTTCCATAGCAGGGCTAAGGTGAAGAACTTAATATATTCATAAAGGCACCATTGATGTTCAGAAGGGACCATATTTAGGGTGAGGAGATTCATTTTGATTGAAACAGGTCATGCTAGTGAGGAGTAAGAAATATTTGAGATTCTTACAGAAATGATATCGATATTAGACTGTGTGTATAGAAATATATACAGTCTCCATTTAGTCTTAGAATTGATTTCATGGCATTTTAGTAACTCCTTTGTGTAATTTTAAAATTTCAGTTCAGTAGCATAATACTTTATAGCAGTTAGTGTATGTTGTATTATTATGTATTATATTTATTGTCATTTAAAGGAATACTTGAAAACTTAAAAAAAAATACTGCATCTACTGCCTTTATATTAAGAGCTTTCCCTTTTTCTTTTAACAGAGAAACAGGAAAAGGAAATTGACATCTATGCTAACCTCTCTGATGAAAAGGCTTTCGTGTTTTCAGTCGCCTTGGCAGAAATAAATAGAAAAATTATTAATCAAAGACTTATTCTCTGATATTTGTCTGCAAAATGTGTTGAAACTTTCTTCAGGATTACATCAGCAAATTCTCAAACAGTTATGAACTCCCAGGAGCATTCTGACTGCATCAATAAGGGCCATTGATTGTTTTTTTTTCTTTATCATTTAGCCTGTGGCACACTTTGGGAGCAAAGCTGCAGGCTTGGACTGTTCTGGGATTTCCTTGTTTACCAAGGAGTATTGTCAGTGTTTTGTGTTTGGGATATAGTGTATTAACCCCCACCCCCCACTGAAAAAAAGAAAAAATGCTGGATGGCTTTTACAAGATTAAGGGGTAGGGTTGGGAGTGGAAGTAAGGAAACTAGAGAAATAAAATGATAGTTTGCAGGTTTGCCACCAGAGATGCAATATTTTAAATACTTTGAGAAAGAGTGACTTTTAAAAATATATATTTCAGATTTTCAGCACTAACATTGCATATTTGCAGTTCATTTAGTAAATTGGCAGTTGATATTTTATTGAATGGGGAATTAATAATATAGACTGTAAATTTTGTCTTAAATTGATTTTTTTCTTGGCCTTTATTTTTATAACTTAAGGTATGAGTTATATTTTAGAAGCTACTTTCTAGTTTGGAAGTTTGGGTGCTATATGAAGAAAAACATTTAAGGATATATCATACTTCAGATATTAAACACCTTGTTTTCTTGAATGTAATTTATTTATTAATTAAAAAAAATACTTTTTTGCTCTCAAGATGGTGCCTGTTAACCTAAACATAAAATATATTTATTACATGCAAAATATTTCTTAGATAGCCACTTTGAAGCAGTAATGTTCTTTCTGAATGGATGTTCATTTATACATCCTGAAAATTATTTAAATTGTTACTTAACCTCACTCTGGAGGAAAAAAATAAACCTTAATATTGAAACTAATAGATTAAATAGTTTGGTATAAGCTTTTTGTTCTAGTGAAGTTTTGTGAACTGTATTTAAATTATTAATTTTCTAGTGTTAAATGATAATTGTTTATATTTGATTTGTTTTATATAAATGCTTTTGCATTTTTGTATATCGATTTAATGCTTAACATATTCAAACTTGATAATGATTTCCCTTATTTTAAGTGGACTGTGGCCTCCCCGCACCCCCGCTCCCCCATCTGTTTGGAAGTCCTGAAGCCTTATTAGGGAATGTAGGCAGCAGTTAGACTTAGCCCTTACTTAAGAGAACTTTCCTTTTTAATTTCAACAACAGCATTGTCAGCTTCAGAGTGCATCTCCCATTACCTCCCAGAAGAAAAGAGGTTTACCTTTTTTTCTACTTTATTTAAATGGTAGCCAGCAGAGGGAGCTTAAGAGGTTCTCTAGGTAGGATGTAGGATTTTTCCTAAGAATTCCTTTTCCCTCAATCCCCATATTTACCTGCAAGTACTACTACAATTATCTTGTATGCATTTTAAAGCCCTAGTAATAAAGTTTATTCCCAGAAATGTTAATGTGATTTTATCTATGAAATATAAGAAAAGTTTAAATTTTGAGGAAAAAACTTAAGATTAATATCTAAAAATGCTTGTGAACTTAATATAGGCATACCTCCAAAATATTGTGGGTTCAGATTCAGACCCCTGCAATAAAGCAAATATTGCAGTAAAGCAAGTCACATGAATTTTTTGGTTTCCCAGTGCATATAAATGTTATGTTTATACTGTACTGTAGTTTTTTCAGTGTGCAATAGCAGTATGTCTTTAAAAAATGTATATACCTTAATTTAAAAAATACTTAATTGCTAAAAACTGCTACCCATCATCTGAGCCTTCAGCAAGTCATAATCTTTGCTGGTGGAGGGTCTTACATTGATGTTGATGCTGCTGACTGATCAGGGTGAAGGCTGGGGTGGCCGTGGCAATTTCTAAAAATAAGACAACAATGAAGTCTGCCTCAGCGACTGGCTCTTGCTTTCATAAATGATTTCTTGGTAGCATGTGCTGCTGTTTGATACCATTTTACCCATAGTAGGACTTCTTTCAAAATTGGAGTCAGTCCTCTCAAACCCTGCCCTGCTTTATCAACTGAGTTTATGTAATATTCTGAATCCTGTGTTGTGATTTCAACAATCTTCACGGCATCTTCACTAGGGGTAGAGGCCATCTCAAGAAACCACTTTCTTTACTCATTCATACAAAGCATCTGTTAAAGTTAGATCATGACATTGCAGCAATTTAGTCAGATCTTTAGCCTCCATTTCTGATTCCAGTTCTCTTGCTAGTTCCACCACATCTTTGGTTACTTCCTCCACTGAAGTCTTGAACCCCTGAAGGTCATCCATGAGGGTTGGAATCAACTTCTTCCAAACTCCTGTGTATGTTGATATTTTGGCCTCTTTCCATGAATCACAAATGTTCTTAATGGCTTCTAGAATGGTGAATCCTTTCTAGAAGGTTTTCGATTTACCCAGATCCATCAGAGGAATCACCTGTCTATGGCAGCTATAGCCTTTGAAATGTATTTCTTAAATAATAAGGCTTGAAAGTTGAAATTACTCCTTTATCCATGGCCTGCAGAATGGATGTTATGTTAGCAGGCACAAAAACAATATTAATCTTGCTTGTACATCGCCAGAGCTCTTGGGTGACCAAGGTGCGTTGTCAATGAACGTTAGTACTTTGAAAGGAATCTTATTCTGAGGAGTAGTTCTCAAGAGTGGGCTCTAAATAGTAAACCATGTTGTAAACAGATGTGCTGTTATCCAGGCTTTGTTTTTCCATTTATAGAGCACAGGCAGAGTAAATTTACCATAATTTTAAAGGGTCCTAAGGTTTTCAGAATGGTAAATGAGCATTGGCTTCAACCTAAAGTCACCTACTACAGTAACTCTTAACAAGAGAGACTGTCCTTTGAACCTTTGATGGCAGGCATTGATTTCTCGCTAGCATGGAAGTCCTAGATGGCATCTTCCAATATAAGGCTGTTTTGTCTACATTGAAAATCTGTTGTTTAATGTAGCCATCTTCATTAATTAGACCTTCTGGATAACCTGTTACAGCTTCTGCATCAGCACATGCTGCTTGCATTTTTATTTTATGGAGACAGCTTCTTTCCATAACCCTCATGAAACAACTTCTACCTTCAAACTTTCTTCTGGAGCTCCCTCACCTCTTGGCCTTCATAGAATTGCAGAGAGTTAGGGCCTTGCTCTGGATTATGTTTTGGCTAAATGTTGTGGCTGGTTTGATCTTCTGTCCATATGGAAGATCTTCATATCAGCCTCCATAAGGCTGTTTCTCATCATTTATGTGTTCACTGGAGTAGCACTTTTAATTTCCTTCAAGAAGTTTTCCTTTGCATTCACAACTTGGCTAACTGGTGCAAGAGGCTTAGCTTTCAGCCTGTCTTGATTTTCGACATGCTTTTCTCACCGAGCTTAATCATTTCTAGCTTTTGATATAAAGTGAGAGATGTGACTTCCTTTCACTTGAACACTTAGAGTCCATTTAGAGGTATTAATTGACCTAATTTCAACATTGTTGTGTCACAGAATAGGGAGGCCAGGGGAGAGGGAGGAAGACACGGAATGTCTGGTGGCGGAGCAGTCAGAATACACATTTATTAAGGTCGTTATGTTGGCACAGTTCATGGCACCCCAAAATAATGATAATAGTAACAGCAAAGTTCACTGATTGCAGTTCACCATAACAAATATAAAAATAATGGGAAAGTTCAAAATATTGTGAAAATTACCAGAAATGACACAGAGACACAAAGTGAGCAAATGATGTTGTAAAAATTGCACCTATAGACTTGCTTGATGTAGGGTTGCCACAAGCCTTCAATTGTTAAAAAAAAAAAAAAAAAAAAAAGGAAGTATCTGCGAAGCTCAATAAAATGAAGTATGCCTATGCCTATGGAGGTCCCCAGGAAAAGGCAAGAACAGCTTATGGAGTAGGCATCTCTTTAAGAATTATTGATGTTAGAGTCATTCCATTTAAAGCTGAAGACCCTTAGAAGAAAGTCATGTTAAAATAGTCATTGGATACAATAAGGGAGGAGACTGGTGACCAGGCTAGAGTTTGCCACTTAGAAATGTAATTGTTTCAGATGTTCAAATCATTGGCTTATTTTAAAAGTTCTTTGACAGAGGGGCAAACTAGTCTTCCCCTGTTATGTGATGTAACCTATTTAATCAATTTCTCTAAAAATCATATTTGCTGTATATAAGCTAACTCTTTGTAAAGCTGAATTTGTCTATGTATGTTGTAGTGGTCTCAGGAAATAGTACTTTGTCACTGGTGTTGAAGAAACCTTTCTCGTCAGCAGATGTCCTAAAAGCATAATTATAGTAATTTAATTAGATAATCCAAAGTTTGTTCTGCTCTAATATTTATAAGTGATACAATTATTCAAAATGTTCTAAAATGATTCCATAATTAGATTAGGTCTGTTGAAGGTATGTTCATTCTTAAATGTGAGCAAGATTAAATAAAAGTTATTTGGGGGTTGTTAGGCTAACCTATACAAATTTGTGTTTACTTACCCAATCCCATACTATTCCAGAATGTTTTGGGGGACACTTAAGTGCTTGAGATTTGATTTTGTGTGCTTTTTTAAAAAAAGTATGAACATTTCTTATATTTTTATGGGCAGGTGAAAATTATCTAAAAGTAAGGGAAATATTGCAGATTACTTCTTTGCCAATCAGTGGAAATGATCACACAGCTTGAGGCAGTTTATATCATGATGAAATAAAAATTTTAAATACACATGACTTAGAAATTTAGCCAAAGTAAATTCACGTCTTTAAATTTCAGAAATACTTTAAAAAATAATGGTCGGTATGGCATGACATCTGTGTTTCTTCCTAAAAGTACTATTAGAAATGTTTTTCCTGAGATAAGAATTCCAATGGAAAACTACTTGACTTTCTAAACTGTGGTAATTGCACTTAATTCTCCAATTCTTACTGTAGAAATGTCTCAGCAATATATTTAATTTTTACTTTCCTCCTACCCAACCTGGTTGTTTATCCTTTAAATTTGGAGAAATTAAGCTCTTTACATAACTTCATACAAAAGTATTAATCAAATTTGTTTGATTCTGCATTCAAAATATGCTTAAGATACAGGTAGTCACTCACACTGCCGAATTTAGTGTGTTCTTCCCTAAAACATGTGTCTATTATTCTTTGAAATTCCTTTACAGTTATTATTTTGGGAATTCCCTGGTGGTCCAGTGGTTAAGACTCTGTGCTTCCACTGCAGGGGGCATGGGTTCGATCCCAGGGAACTAAGATCCCACATGCCGCCCGGCGTGGCCAAGAAAGAAAAAGAAGAAAAGAAAAAAATGTAAAAAAAAAAAGTTATTTCCATTCAGCCTTCTGGTTTTGGTTTGATGCCTTATTTTCTTGAAGTTTCACTAGCATTTTCTATCTTTTTAGCCTTTAAAACATTTTTTATAAACTAATCTCATTTTAGTTAAACTTTTTTGTGTGTGTGGCTGGTATTTTTTTGTTTTGTTTCTCTCTTACTACTGTTATATGCCTTGTTTTTACATTTGGAGGTATATTTATAGTATCTATATGCACACACTTTTTTTGGAATGTATTCACAGTATATTTTATTTAATTAATTTATTTTAACATCTTTATTGGAGTATAATTGCTCTACAATGGTGTGTTATATAACAAAGTGAATATATTTGCTGCTTTAACAAAGTGCTTTATAACAAAGCTGCTTTATAACAAAGTGAATCAGCTGTACATATACATATATCCCCATATCTCTTCCTTCTTGCGTCTCCCTTCCACCCTCCCTATGCATATACTTTTTTAAAGTTATTCTTTTGTGCTGTTTAACCCACTTAGTTATTAGTAGTATTTATTGCTCAAAGATTACAATTATAATAATGAGTATTCTAACATACAAAACAAACTCTCTGGAATGAAAAGTATGAGAAACATAATGAAGCTCTAGGCTGGACTGGAACAATTATTCTTTTTACCACAGTCAAATATTTTCCTTTTGTATTATTAAGGAATCTATTTTATCCTCTTATTGTTGAGGCGTCCTCCCCCACCCCGCCGCCACCTCCTTAATGTTTTATTAGTTTACAATCTGTATGCCTTTTATTTCTTATCCTTGCCTTATTGTACTAGCAAGGACTTCACTCAATACAGTGTTGAAAAAGAACGGTGAGAGAAGAAATCCTTGCCTTGATTCCAATATTGAGGGTGGGGCGTGAAATTCAGTCTTACAGCATTAAGTATGATGTTAACTATAGATTTTTGTTGCAGAATACTCCTTATCAAATTGAGGAAATTCCATCTATCACTGTATGCTGAGGTTTGTTTGTTTTTAATCTGTTTTATTTGAGTCCCAATCTTATTACATGTAAAATAAGAAGAAGGACATGTTTCCTTCTCCCATCATTTTGCAGTTACATTGAACTTTCCTATGAAATGACCCTAGTTTATTTTTTAATTTTTAATTTTATTGAAGTGTAATTGATTTACAATGTTGTATTAGTTTCAATTTAATACAACATTGTAAATCAATTACACTTCAATAAAATTAAAAATTA